AAATAGAGCATCACTTGTAAGGAGAAGTCGCGTTGAATGATAATCAAAGCTTTTTAAGCATTACTTTTCCTTTCAATCAATTGCTTTTTCAAGCTATTGTTTAATAAGAAGACTCTTTTTGTCGGCTATTCTTTGAATTAACGACACAAAGTTTTTTTAACGCTTCCGCTACACCATGTATGATATTGTGGACATGGGTGGCCACGCTAATATATCATGTACATGGTTCTCATGTTTCGATGGACATGATATTGTGGATATGGGTGTCCATGCTAATAAATCCATGATTCTATCCCATTCTCTTCTCTTGTACAGGACCCAAGGTAAAACCAATTCAATACACAAAGTGTGATATCAAAGGCTCGACAAATTTGGTGTTTTTCACACCATTACTTATTTTAAGATGATGATTTATGAATTCTAACCGGATAGAGAAGAAGCAAAAAGTTGTGAACTTCCATATTCTACATCATTTTCTAAAAAATCGCAACAAATTGGACAATCTACAAAGAATTCATGGCCGTAATATATAAAAGATCCATTACTCACAAAATTCCGTGAAAGATCTCTTAAATTCCAAATAAGAGAAGCCAAAATAGAACAACAAAAACAACAACTAAAGGAAAAAAAGGTCTAGGACGTGTTTTATATAGATTTGTACATGAAAAAACTCAATTTCGGCAACATCAAAAGAGAGAAAGGTTTACGAATTGAAGATACTTTATAAGCATAAATAGCAGATGACGTTTCCTTTGATAACGAAATCTTAGATTAGTCATAACCTCTAATGCTGATGCCGTGATTCGATCTGGACACTATCAAATCCTAACTCTTTCCTTCGTTGCATCATCAAGATACTTTTTCAAATCGCCGAAAAAAACCGAAGACGGTGTCCAAATTGTCGAGGAAACTAAAGATTGTGGAAGATTGATCAAATAGAGGGGTTAAGGCAAACAAAGATAAAACTTTTCAGAAAGAGAGAAAGAGGGAGAAGAGGTGAATTGGATTTTGGTTTCATTGACATATTTTTCTGGATTTTGTCTGATTTGGA